ACTCCTTTCTTGATCTGCATTGCTTTAGTGTATTGCTGTCTAGCCTTTCACAATTACAAAATACGGATTTCGCCTTACACCATCACAAAAAAGCACTAAGAAAATAATAATCCACGAAAGGACTGCTACACTGAAAAAAGAACACACCGACGTCTTCAAAATCACAGAGGCAGTGTCTATAGCTTGTTCACTTTCCTCTGACAGCGTAAAAAAAATTCTAAAAATTCTAGTTCATTGACAAATTAACCTAGGCCCACAAAACTTTGCGTGACACTTCTACATACTATTCGAAATGTGAGCGTGTAAATTCATATGCACATTTCAGATTATGATATACGAAATTATCCCAGGCTCAAGTACTTGGAAAAGACTGTTTCTGCGCTCTGAGGCTACATCACTTTCCATGAAATAAACTTGCAGAAATGAATGCTCATTTTGGGTGGCAGGAAGGAGAGAGCCAATGCGATAATATACTTGACCCTGCACGCAAAACTGTGGATTCCATCCATTGAGGGTTGCATCGGTGTAGCCCATGGATGTGAGCTGAAAGCAATTGTTGTACAGCCTGATTTTCTCCAGAAAGTGAGTGGACAGTGTCGACACACCAGACAGAAGGATTTGCAGTTCAGGAGGTGGTTTTGGAAATGGATGCAGATCAACTTTGTCATTGCTACAGCACATACCTTGTGTTTCATATGAAAATCTTATGGCCAGGCAGTGTGTACACTGTGTCGTCAGTTCCCCAATGTAGCACACGTGTTGAAAGGAATTGACAATGTAGAGGAATGCTCTTGGGAGATTTAGATCTAGAGAGTCCTCATCATTTTGTTGTTGATCTAGACCACCTCGACCTTTGCGGGCTCGAGGGGTTCCAACTGCAGAACTTCGTTTTCTTTTCGGCATGGTCAGGTGCTATCTAGATCCAGATCTAGATTCTTATCTAAGATCTATTGACGTTGTTCCCAGTAGCAAGAAAAAGATTTTGACGAAGGAGTCCAGAAAAAGCAATGATGGGTATCAAACGAAAGGATCACAGTCGAATTTGGCACCAAATTAAAAACAAAACCATGAGGCTAGATCTATACGGGTCGCACACTTAAAATAGTGCTCAGTATTGCACGACAATGCGCGATAGTATCGAACGGAAGTACGACTTGAAATAAACAAACCTAGCGGATTTTCTAAAATTACAGAGACAGAAGCGTCGGCCTACAAAAGCGATCGGTGAAATAAAGAATTTTAGCTTTTTGCAGCAAAACTGAAAAAAAAACGAAGGGTGCCATGATCTGGAGAATATTTTAAAGAATATTTTGGCGAAAACTGTATGTCGATCGACGGAGCCATTAAAAAGTCTTTTGAATAGCAAAATTTGGCCACCACAAATAGATAATAGACTAGCTGGGCCCCCTTTCGATGAAAGGAATGATGGGTGCATTAACGTCAGCCGAAAGTCATTGGCTTATGATATGATTTACATTCTACTGGAATGGAGCAATACATTTTGAGAGATGCAAAAATTAGAAGGTTTAGATCTATACTCTCAAATCAGTGTGCACGGTTAGTGAACGGAAACCTCCTTTTCCAAAATTAAAGACACAGAAGCGTCGGCCTACAAAAGTGATCAGCGAAATAAAGAAATTTAACTTTTTGCAGCAAAACTGTCTCAAACCTGAAAAAATGAAGGGCGTCATGATCTGGAGAATATTTTAAAGAATCTTTTTGCTAAAACTGCATGTCGATCGATGCAGCCATTAAAAAGCCTTTTAAATAGCAAAATTCGGCCACCACAAATAGATAATAGAAGAAGGAGAAGGAGGAGGAGGAGGTGTAGGTGTAGATGGAGAAGAAGAAGAAGAAGAAGAAGAAGAAGAAGAAGAAGAAGAAGAAGAAGAAGAAGAAGAAGAAGAAGAAGAAGAAGAAGAAGAAGAAGAAGAAGAAGAAGAAGAAGAAGAAGAAGAAGAAGAAGAAGAAGAAGAAGAAGAAGAAGAAGGAGGAGGAGGAGGAGGAGGAGGAGAAGGAGAAGAAGAAGAAGAAAAAGAAGAAGAAGAAGAAGAAGAAGAAGAAGAAGAAGAAGAAGAAGAAGAAGAA